GTTGACGAAAGAGAGGTGAAATGGAAATCTTGCGTTCTTTTTAATTTATTTATGATTTATGATAAATTATGTTGTCATGAGGATGTCAATTTTCTTTACCAAGCATGGCAAATCTTTAGCACGTTCAGACACGGCAAGGATCCTTCTTTGACAAATTGCCATCCTCACGACAACATAATTTATCATTTTGGACGTTTGATTTGCCATGCTAAAAAATCTAACCTTTTATATGCAGAGGTATATGTTGTATTGTCACCGTAAGAGTGAGCTCCATGTGCCCACAAAAACAATGAAGAACTAGATGATGCCCTGCTGCGGGAATCTTGATAAACATATGCTAAAAACTAAAACTATTGCAAAAACAAATTTAAGAATGCCCTTGGGATATATTTTGAAAACAATAAAGTATATGAAGCATGTCACAGAAATGTTGTATAAAAAGAGGAATCTATTGGATTGAGTCAAACGGGTGTCATTTTTAACAAAAGAATGTGCTAAAAAAATGTGTAACATGACAATCTATGATGCGCACAAAAATAGTGAAACAAATCCATGCATGATTGCTGAGGTGACTGGGCTGCATGAATAAATTAGTGCGTAAATTGTAACTTATGACCAGATGCATGACTTGATGATGTGGCATAGTTGCATGAATATAAAAAATTGATTTTATTTCTAGAGGTAAAAGGAAAATAGTTTTTTTTAGATTTAGGAAAAATAGGTTGTTGGTTGCAACTATTTAAAAACAGAGGATGAGCTCTATGGGCCGGAAGGGCATTCTCAAGTACACTGGGTTGGGCCGCTGAGCTTCTCTGCTGAGCTCCATTACTTCTTACCTTTTCTCCAAGTCTTCTCCATTCGGCCTCCAGCCCTTTAAACCCCACAAAACCCTAGACTTCGCAGCGAGCAGCCGTCGTCGGATCCCCAGAGAAACACCAAAGCCCGAGCCATGTCGTCGGCGTCCCTCGCCGCCAGGCTCCTCCGCCGCGCCGCCTCTTCGTCGCGGGCCTCCACCCTATCCCGACGCTGCGCCCACTCCTCCGCGACTTCCCGCGCGCCCGTTTCGCTCGCCCAGTTCCACCCCGCCGCCGCCGCCGCCGCCGCCTCCCCGTCAGGGACCCCTGCCCGCCGCTTCCTGTCCTCGCAGTCCCCGGCGGCTTCCTCCAAGATCTCCCCGGACGAGAACCTGAGGCGGGTCATCGACTCCGAGATCGAGTGCGTCGTCGAATCGGAGGAGGGCTCCGCGCAGGTCTCTTGGCTTCCTTAACCACCGCCCTTGCATTTCCTTTTCGTTCTTTCGAGATAGTAGTTTGACTCCATTTATACACGATCGAGCTTTATTATTTGTGGTGTGAATACCGGAGGAAATACCTTTTTTTTTTTGCGAAGGACCGGAGGAAATACCTTGATCCCGCGTATTTGGGAAATATTAGGAACAGAGCCAAAATTGAGGTTGTCGATGCAAGACTGTCTAGCTTTTATGTGGTATAAAGCAGTAGTACTAGCTATGCCCGTGATTGTTGCTCCTGCAGTGAACAGCTAACTCTGGGAATCTCTCATCCCTGCATCTCAAATTGCAGAACAAGGACTCTGCTACATTGCTGGGATGCCGTTAGTCAGTAATGGTGACTATTCATCAGGATTAAAGAATTAAAATGGTAGTGGTATGGATGGTAAAAAGGAAATATTGTTGGTATATTACAAAACCCGGTTGGTGAGATCCTGGCCTGTGCTGGATGCTCCAGCTCAATCCAAGAGGTTCACAAACTTGACTTTGATAGCTCAACTTTTCAGATGTTCAAGTCATTCCCCTTCTACTACTCCCTCCGTCCCATAATGTAAGACGTTTTTTTTACACTAGTGTCAAAAAACGTCTTACATTATGGGACGGAGGGAGTATTTATGAGTCAATTGGACATTACTAAATGAAGTTTGTGCACATTTGAAATGTTTATTCAGGTAAGTGAACGTTTGAAATTTACCTTACGTAGTATTAATTGCTCTCTGAGGTCCATAAACTCCAGTATATGGTACTATATGTCAATGTGATAAAGTGTTATACTGCGATGATGTAAAGATGGGTTTCATAGACTGATGTCGCATACTATACCTTGTGTTATACTTATGCTTTGCAAGTACTTGATTGTTTTATCTTGTTAATAGGAAGAAATGCTTTAGTTTTGCTTCAAAAGAACCTTTGAATGTAAAACAATACTCTGATATTTTTGAAAAAGGACATGACCAAAATACTTGTTTTGAATTGTTTTCAACAGCAAATTGATCCACCAGAAGACTTCCCCTTTGAGATAATTGATAACCCTGGTGATCAGTCCATCGTTCTCAAAAGAGAGCTTGCAGGAGAGACTATTAAAGCTACTGTCTACACAAATTTTGATACTGAGGAAGATTTGAACAATGAGGGCTCTGATGCTGAGAATGATGATGACTCATTTAAGCCAGCACTTCAGATGGTTGTCACTGTTGAGAAACCAGGAGGCTCAATCCTGGAATTTGAGTGCAACTTTAATGATGATGAACTGGCAATTGAAAATATGAGGTTGCTGAATCGCGATGCCAAGTTTACTGAGAATGCATATGAGGGGCCACAGTTCTCGTAAGTTCAATTTTTCTTATCTAACTTATATTATTTCTTCAATTTCAAGCATCATAATAAGCCAACCAAATGGTTGCTGAATCATAATAAAACAAAACGGTATACTTTCAAGGATCCCTGGTCACAAATTTCGTGTTGTTTTCCACGAAATGGCTCAAGCTTGACATTACTTGTATGTGTTTCTCCCCTGGCTGATTATTCACCCCAAAGTTCTGTTTGCTTAAGTACTTAGATGACTACTACTCCCTCCGTTCCATATTACTTGTTGCTGATTTAGTACAAAGTCTCCCTCCGTTCCATATTACTCGTTGCTGATTTAGTACAACTTTGTACTAAATCAGCGACAAGTAATATGGAATGGAGGGAGTAGTAAACTGCATTGCATCTTATGGTTTCTTCTGACATTTACTTACTCATTGTCTTCTACAGTGATCTGGATGAGAGCTTGCAGAAGTCCTTCCACAGGTATCTTGAGGTGAGGGGGATCAAGCACTCGCTGCATGACTGGCTGCACGAGTACATGATGACCAAGGATGAGAGGGAGTACGTGGTTTGGTTGAAGAACATGAGAGAGTTCATCGAGAAATGAGTGCCACTGCCCGTCATTCTCTTTTAATAGAACGAACATGCCTGGTGCTCTATGTCAAACCTGTCTGATCATAATTGTGCATTGCTTTCTAGCACGCCAAGTCTCGGTGAACGCCGAGCTGGATTTATATTTTGCTGGACCTGTTAGCTGTAGAAAAGCTTCGGCATCTTATCTTTGATGTTTAACCTGTGATCCATTCAGGTATGATCAATTAATGTGTTTTCAGCCGTGAGTATATTGCTACGTACTCTCTCCGTTCCTAAATATAAGTCTTTATAGACATTTCAAATGGACTACAACATACGGATGTATGTAGACATATTTTAGAGTGTAGATTCACTCATTTTGCTCGGTATGTAGTCATTTATTGGAATCTGTAAAAAGACTTATATTTAGGAACGGAGGGAGTACGTTCTAGAACCATGAGGGGATGATTCAAGATATAATTGCCTGTGGACATTAGCTGAATAGTTTACCATTGAAAACAAATAGTAACCTGCAAGCCAGTTAGATTCAAGCTTACAAGTTTGTATCCCAAGAAAGGAAGAGGGTGACGTTTTGAAACTCCTGGTTTATGCTTGGCTGCTACTTCTATGACCTCGTGATATCTGATTGTTTAAGCCATACGCGTGAGAGAACGGTGACCGGAGAACCAGCAAACTTAGAAATCCAAATCAGTTGTACAGCAAAAGCAAACAATTCCTTCGAGCTTTCTTGCTTCAGTTCTGTCGGCTGACAGAGCTGAATGTCCTCACCGTCATTCTTCTTTAAACAAGGCAAAAGAATTGCCATTTCATTAAGTAAGGAAGTTTTAGCACAAAGCCGCAAAGCGGTGAAAAAAGAAAGAACTACTCTCGCAGCATTACAAAGCCCAAAGAGACACCTCTTTAATCTTGGAAATGAGAACCATCAAAGGAACTGAGAACCATCGAAGGAACGGCCGTGTTACGGAAGGCTCTAGGATTGCGTTCGGTCGAAGTCTCCCATGAAATAAGCATCATCAGAGAGGCTAGCGCCTTGTGAGATCCAAGCCGAATGTGTATGTTGCTGATCCACCAATCTCTCACCGAGACCTTCGTCGCCCAGGTGTCCGTGTTGACGTGCTGCATTCCAAGCAACGGAATAATGTCATTCCACATCCGAAGAGTGAATCAGCATTGTAAGAGGAGATGGGCCGCAGTTTCTTACATTGTTTGCATAGAGGGCATACGCCACAATTGGGCCAACCCCGCCTAATTAAGCGATTAGACGTCCAGATCCTATTTTGTAGAACGAGCCAATCAGAAAATTTGAACCACGAGGAAGTCCATACCTTCTAGACTGATTGCACCAGATACGAAGTAGTAAGCCCTTCAAATTGTGCCTTGTATGCCGAAGAGGCGGAGTACATACCATCTTTAGTGAACTTCCATACAATTAAATCCTCCATTCCCTCCTCAATGGTGACAGAATTCAGCTTTTTCCAAAGATTTGCAAACTCTTGGACGTGACCAAGGGAAAGGCCATTGGAAATCCACAGATTGTTGAGTAGAGCTTGCTGGACGGAGCAGTTTTCTTTTGGGAGAGGTCGAAGATGCGAGGCGCGATGTCACGGGGTCTCAAGCCCTGTAGCTAAGAGGAGTTACAAAATTTTGTCGTTCGTCCGTTGCCCACCGTGACGTGGGTGGCAGCCGCAAAAAAGGCCCGATCATCATCCGTGCACGGTGTGCGCATACCAATCCATGGTTTTGTGGGCTTCTTCCACTCAAACCAAAGTATGTCTAAGTTCTTTCTTAGTGTGCATGACATGTGTAGCTGTGCTCATTGTAGCTGAAACTATCAAGGCTGAGTTGCAGAGTTAGCAACTTAGAGCATCTATCAATGCTAAGATGCAGGGTTAGAAACTTAGAGCATCTCAACAGATGCCCAAAAGTTGCCGCCGTGCCCAAAACAACTGTCATTTAGGACAGTGGCGGAGCCAGGAAAACTTAATCAAGGGGGCCAACTGATGTTAAATCATGTTGGAGAGGGCCAAAGCCAGCAAAATCATCATAAATACACAATATTAGCAGCAGATAATCCCTCATGTAGTGGCAAAATCTGCATGTTGACCTGGGCCGGGCCCCCTGCTAGCACCCCTGCCTCCGCCACTGATTTAGAACACTTTGACCAAAAAATGCAGTTGTGCCCTATTTCATCTCTGATGATTTCTTTTGCAGCTGCCTAAAATTCTATTACATGTGCTGCAAACCGCAATTGCCCAACTGAAACTGGTAGAACCAGGGGTCCTACCGGATCTGCTCCGGAGATTGTAGGGGAAGGATGGAGTGGGACGGGGTGATGATCGGGCGCGCCGGCGGCTGGGCGCCGTCGCGTCTTAGGGAGATGGCGGCGGCTAGGTTTCTGGCTCCTCTGGGAGTCGGGCAATAGGGATAATAATATTCTTATTGCTTAATTTCAAAAGGAGTCTTACAACCTATATTTATAACCTAGATAACTTGCATAAGAATTAACCTAAGATAACTTGTGGGCTAAGATTGCCTGGTGGGCCTAGCTAAACCGGCCATAACACTTTTCCCCGCCTGCACAAACAACTCGTCCTCGAGCTATAAGGTGGGGAAGCGCTTGCGGAACTCCTCAAGGCGATCAACCAGCGTCAAACACCTTCTTGACAGCTGGGGCGGCCAGGTCGGCGGCGACGGCATCCTCCGGAATGTAGTCTGCAACCTCCAGGTAGAAGAGTCGTGGGCAGGCATGGCCGGGCGTGTAGGGCTCGTCGCAGTTGAAGCACAAGCCTTGATAGCGACACTCGAGTAGCTCGGCTGAGGTGAGCCAGCGGAACGGGCGCGCCACGGTCACGGCGAGGGGTGCCGTAGAAGCCTGCGCAGGCCGACCCTCGCGGAATCCGGCCAGGGTAGCGACCCAGCGGTCTGGGACGGTGATTCCTGCTGGATAGCCACCGCACGTCGCTCGAACGCGTGGGCGTAGTACATGGCCGACTGGAGATCCTGGGGTCCTCGAAGCTCCACGTCCACACGGATGTGATCCGGAAGTCCATCGACAAAGAGGTCGGCCCGTTGTTGCGCCGTCATGCCTGACGCATGGCATGCCAGGGCCTTGAAACGGTCGGCGAAGTCCTGCACCGTGGAGGTGAAGGGAAGGCGGCCGAGCTCCGCCAGGCGGCTCCCGCGAACCGGAGGCCCAAAGAGAAGGAGGCAGAGCTCGCGGAAGCGCTCCCAATGGGGCATGCTGCCCTCGTCCTGCTCGAGGGCGTAGTACCAGGTATGGGCTGCACCGCAGAGGTGGTAGGATGCCAGCCAAGTGCGCTGCGACGCGAGCGTGCGCTAGCCACGGCAAAACTGCTCACACTGGTTGAGCCAGTTAAGCGGGTCCTCCGTGCCATCATAAGTGGCAAAATCGATCTTGGCGAACCATGGCGGCGTCTAGGTCGGCGTGCCATGACCGACCGGCTCGGCGGTGCGGAGCAGTGATGATGACGGCGCCCGGTCAACGGTGGGAAGGCCGTCGTAGGCCCTCGCGGAGCCGGACGAGGCCCCAGACTGCAGCGTGGGTACTGGTGGGTCCCTAGCCTCTGTGTAAACTGGCGGTGGCGACGTCCAGGTTAGCCAGGCCGGGATCGGGAACAGTGACGGCGGAAACCGGACCTGCTGGATCGGAAGCCCTCCCGGTGTGGACTGGCCAGTCCGGAGCTGGGCGGCAGCGGTGGGAGCTGGATCGGCATGGGCGGCGCGGTTGGCGCGGCTGGGGCCGGCGCAGGCCAGTGCGGCCACTGTAGCGCTGGGGCGGGCGCGGGAGGCGCGGGTGCGCCACGAGAACCGGCGCGGGCCACTGCGGCCAGGACGGCGCTGGGACGGGCGGCGGCTGGAGCGACGGATGGGCCCCGACGATCGCCGCGGGTACCGAGTACTAGGGAAGGTGCAGCGGCGGCGGGGGCCTGCCGATGTAGCCCGCCTGGAACGGCAGCAGGGGTGTCCCGCTCGGGCCCGATGCGTTCTGGGTCGGCCAGTGCGTCGCCGGTGGCTGTAGGCGAGGAGCGCAGGCGGCGGGGTGGTGTGCGGGCCGGCCAAGTACAGGGACATGCCCTGGACGGCCGTCACGAGTGTTGGAAATATGCCCTAGAGGCAATAATAAATTAGTTATTATTATATTTCCTTGTTCATGATAATCTTTATTATCCATGCTAGAATTGTATTGATAGGAAACTCAGATACATGTGTGGATACATAGACAACACCATGTCCCTAGTAAGCCTCTAGTTGACTAGCTCGTTGATCAATAGATGGTTACGGTTTCCTGACCATGGACATTGGATGTCATTGATAACGGGATCACATCATTAGGAGAATGATGTGATGGACAAAGACCCAATCCTAAGCCTAGCACAAGATCATGTAGTTCGTATGCTAAAGCTTTTCTAATGTCAAGTATCATTTCCTTAGACCATGAGATTGTGCAACTCCCGGATACCGTAGGAGTGCTTTGGGTGTGCCAAACGTCACAACGTAACTGGGTGGCTATAAAGGTACACTACAGGTATCTCCGAAAGTGTCTGTTGGGTTGGCACGAATTGAGACTGAGATTTGTCACTCCGTGTAAACGGAGAGGTATCTCTGGGCCCACTCGGTAGGACATCATCATAATGTGCACAATGTGATCAAGGAGTTGATCACGGGATGATGTGTTACGAAACGAGTAAAGAGACTTGCCGGTAACGAGATTGAACAAGGTATCGGGATACCGACGATCGAATCTCGGGCAAGTATCGTACCGCTAGACAAAGGGAATTGTATACGGGATTGATTAAGTCCTTGACATCGTGGTTCATCCGATGAGATCATCATGGAACATGCGGGAGCCAACATGGGTATCCAGATCCCGCTGTTGGTTATTGACCGGAGAGTCATCTCGGTCATGTCTGCATGTCTCCCGAACCCGTAGGGTCTACACACTTAAGGTTCGGTGACGCTAGGGTTATAGAGATATTAGTATGCGGTAACCCG